ATTTATTTATGCTCCAATGGTTATTATGTCCCTCCTTCTACTGATATTGGGCCTCATTTGTTCTTTTTCTCCTAGTTTTGTTAATTGTGAGTTTAGACTGTTCATATGGGATTGTTGTTCTTTCCTGAGGTAGGCCTGTATTGCAGTATACTTCCCTCTTAGCACAGCCTTTGCGGTGTTGAATTATTGTTGCCATTTGTCTCCGTATATTGCTTGATCTCCGTTTTTATTTGGTCATTGATCTATTGGTTATTCAGGAGCATGTTTTTAAGCCTTCATGTGTTTCTGGGATTTTTCATTTTCTTTGCATAGTTTATTTCTAGTTTCATACCTTTATGGTTGAGAAGCTGGTTTGTACAATTTCAGTCTTTTTTAATTTACTGAGACTGTTTGTGGCCTAATATATGATCTGTTCTTGGAAATGTTCCATGTGCACTTGAGAAGAATGCGTATTCTGCTGCTTTTGGGTGTAGAGCTCTGTAGATGTCTGTTAGGTCCATCTGTTCTAATGTGTTGTTCAGTGCCTCTGTCTTTACTTATTTTCCGTCTGGTGGATCTTTCCTTTGTAGTGAGTGGTGTGTTGAAGTCTCTTAGAATGAATGCATTGCCTTCTATTTCCCCTTTTAATTCTGTTAGTATTTGTTTCACATATGTCGGTTCTCCTGCATTGGGTGCATACATATTTATAATGGTGATATCCTCTTGTTGGATTCATCTTTCATTATATAAGGTCCTTTATCTCTTGTTACTTTTTTTGTTTTGAAGTCTATTTTATCTGATACAAGTATTGCAACTCCTGCTTTTTTCTCCCTATTAGTTGCATGAAATATCTTTTTCCATCCTTTTACTTTTAGTCTGTGTATGTCTTTGGGTTTGAAATGAATCTGATGTAGGCAGCATATAGATGGGTCTTGATTTTTTATCCATTCTGTAACTCTGTATCTTTTGATTGATGCATTCAGTCCCTTTACATTTAGGGTGATTATGAATGGATAATGTATGTACTGCCTCTGTAGGCTGTAGATTCATGGTTACCAAAGGTTCAAGGGCAGCTTCCTTACTATCTGACAGTCTAACTTAGCTCGCTCATTTTGCTATTGCAAACATGATCTTAACGGTTCTTTTTTTTTTCTCCCTCCTTCTTTTTCCTCCTCCATTCTTTATATATTAGGTGTCATATTCTATACTCTGTGTATACCTTGACTGGTTTTATGGGTACTTGATTTAATTTTTCATTTGCTTTATAATTAATTGGTCCACTTTCTTTACTGTGGTTTTATTTTCTCTGGTAACAGTTATTTAGCTTTAGGGGCACTTCCATAAATTGCAGTCCCCTTAACATACACTGTAGAGATGGTTTGTGTGTGGTAAATTCCCTCAAGTTTTGCTTATCTGGAAGTTGTTTAATCCCTGCTTTAAATTTAAATGGTAATCTTGCTGGATAGAGTCTTCTTGATTCGAGGCCCTTCTGTTTCGTTGTATTAAATAAATCATTCTACTCCCTTATGGCCTGTAAGGGTACTGCTGAGAAATCTGCTGATAGCCTGATGGGCTTTCCCTTATATGTGATCCTTTTTCTCTGGCTGCTTTTAATACTCTCTGCTTGTCCTTGATCTTTGCCATTTTAATTATTACATGTCTTGGTTTGTCTTCCTTGGGTCCCTTGTTTTGGGAGATCTGTATACTCCATGGCCTGAGGGACTATTTCCTTCCCCAGATTGGGGAAGTTTTCAGCAATTATTTCCTTAGAGAAACTTTCTGTCCCTTTTCCTCTCTCTTCTTCTTTGGGTACCCCTATAATATGAATATTGTTCCATTTGGATCAGTCACACAGTTCTCTTAATATTCTTTCATTCCTTGAGATCTTTTTTCTCTCTCTGCCTCAGCTTCTTCACATTCCTGTTCTGTAATTTCTGTTTCATTTACCATCTCCTCTACCTCATCTAATCTGCTTTTAAATCCCTCCTTTTGATGCTTCATTTCTGATACTGAATTTTTCAGTTTCTTTCTCTTTCTTGAAGTCCTCCCTGAGATCTTGAATAGTTTTCTGTAGCTCCATGGGCATGTTTAAGATTTTTATTTTGAAATCTTTATCAGTAAGATTGGTGATTGCAGTTTCACTATCTCTCTCTCTAGTGTTTGAGGGATTCTGTTTTGTACAAGATTCTTTTGCCATTTCATTTGTGTAGGTGGCATCTTCTAGTGCCCAGACGCTCTACCCTGTGGAGCTGCCAAGCACCAGGAGTGATGGTGGGTATTGCAGGCAAGTCGGACCAGACTGCCGGGCGGAAAGAGCTCTCTCCTGCTTCCTGGCTGTTTTGTCTGCCTCCACTGCCCAGACCAGTGGGCCAAGTGTGCAGGGAGGAGCCTCTGCCTTATGCCCCTTTAGCTGCCATAATTGAGGCTGCCCTCTGGCTGGCCTGGCGTGATGGTGGGGTCAGCAGCTGTGCGGACTGGGTGCTGTCTAGGAGGAAGGAGTGGCAGGCTGCATATCGCAGTTGGGGGCCTCGGCACTGCTTTGCCAGCCAGGGGGAAGGTCCATTTGAAGCTTCTGAAAATTCCCAACCTGCTGGACAGTGTGCCAAGGCTACCAGGTCCACTTGACCTTTCTCCTGAGCAGAAAGCTCTGTGTAATCTTTTCCCCTTTAGCACCCATCTGCTATTGGGAAGTCTTTCAAAGTGCCTGCCTTTCTTTTGTCCTGGAGCGGCCAGTTGTGGGTACCTGTTCTCCACAAGCGTCTGGAATCTCAGTCTCTCCAAGTATTCTGCCTGTCTTTGCTTTTATTCCCCACTAATCTCCAGAGCACCATTTAATGTGGGTTCATGCTACCAGAACAGATCTCCAGCTCTGGGTGTTTAGCAGTCATGGGCTTCTACTCCCTCCCTGCTCCATTTCTTTTCCTCCCGCCTGTGAGCTGGGGTGGGGGGCAGGGCTTGGGTCCCACCAAATCATGGCTTTGCCGCTTTATCCTTTTCTGTAAGGTGTTCTCTTTTTCCCAGATGTTGGCAGTCTTTTCTACAGTCTTTGGATCGCTCTTTCAGAATTAGTTGTTTTTTGCTGTATTTTCTTGTTATATGTGGTTCTGAGAAGAGATTTCTGCCTCACTTCTCGCACTGCCATCTTTTTCCTCCCATCTCCCAAACCATTCCCTCTTATATCCTTGTTTCTTAACCTCTTTTTATCATGTCATCTCATTTTTCTATAGTATTCTGGTTAATTTCCTCAGTTCTACCTATTTGTTGTTAACCTCTTTTTCAACCTTGCATGAATCCATGTCATTAATTCTAATGACTGTATCTTTCATTTCTAAAAAGTCTATGTAGTAATTTTTAGGAGTCTATCCATGTTTAATAAAATAATGTCATCTTTTAAAGGTTATTTCATTTTATGAAAAATTCAGGTATTGTCATTATGTTTGTCTGCTTGACTCTTAACTTCAGGTGGATTGTCTGCCTTGTTTGGCTTTTTAAATTTGATTGGAACACATATTTTGAGAGTTTTTTACCTATTATGAGAATTTTTTTTTTCCTGTGATAATTCTTGTGACCTGGATTGTGGAAGCATCCCTCCAGAGAGGTTTTTTTAAACACATTTGAAGAGTATTCACAGGCATTTTTATATTTGCTTTAACATCTATGTTAGATCATTTCAACATCTTTGTCTTTCAGCACTGATGTTTTTTGATTGTCTTTTCCTCATTTTTTATATGCTGAAGTAATTTTGGATTGTATCCTGGACATTTTTAATATGATATTATGGGACTCTGGGTTTTGTTTAAATCTGCCAATTTGGTGGCATTTAGGATTCTGGTCTACACCAATATGCCTGTTCCTTTTTGCTTTTCAGTGTTCTTAAATAACTGCTTTATGTATTCGGTTCAGGTTTATAGCAGCATTCAGTGGGAAAGACAATTGGGGGAAATGTGCTAACTGCATCTTACCTAGAACACTAACTACAGACGATTTTATGTTTGCATTATTCAAATAACACTAGCTCCTGAACAATCTTTATGTTAATTTCTTGAGATTTGAACCTCAACTTCAAATCCCAAATTTAAGGTAGGTACATGGCTTTATTTTGAATTCTGAGGTAAGCTGGGGTAGCAGAAACAAAGCATCTTTTATATGCCAGCCAGCAGACTCTTTGTAGTATATTCTTTCAATCTGAATTTTAGCTTTATGTGGGGAGTGGAGTTACTCTATTTCAACTCCCTTTCTGTGGAGGATCCAAAGTTTGTTTTTCTTTTCCCGAAGAGACTTTCACATCAAGCTCTGCAGTGCAGCATCTGACCCACTAGTTTTCCTTATCTTTCTTTGTTTTGACATGTGTGGATTTCCCTTCTTTCTTATTTAAAAGTCTGTCCATTAAAATACTACTGTAAGTTTATGTTTTATTCTAGCATTTATTATGTCTTATGTAGCGTTTAAACGGGTTTATAGCAAAAATACATTCAGAGTTTCTTGATCACTATCTTGATGAAACAAATACTTTCTATAGAATTTCTCTTTTAACAATCAACGGATATACACAAAAACAAAATTGGAGGTCTAAATAGTGATCATTTATTACTAGAATTACTGGAACTTTTTATACACACACAAGTATAAATGTGCTGTGTTTTGGGTCAGAAACTAATATATCTACATTGAATCAAAATTGATAGAGTTCCTGTTATATCTTATGACTCTAGTGTTTCTGCTTTAGAATAAATTCTATAATGAATTAATACCAGTTTCAAATTATAATTTTGATGTACTGTGGAAACGGTAATTTTAATCTTTGACAACAAAACTGAAAACCACTGCTGTAAATAACTAAAGAGATCAGAGGTTTGCATGGTTACCTTTTTCTTCATTTTGTTTTTTGATGTCTTATATCGTCTTGGTATTCAGTGTAAAATTCAATAGGAAATTCTCTCTAATAGATAAAGATATTTCGGTTTCCTTTCACTTGCAGTGGTTTCTTGTTAGAAACACGTTCTCCCCTAACTTCTTGCCAGGAATCAGCAGCGACAGTGATATCGAGTGTGACACTGAAAACGAGGAGCCGGACGAGCACGCCTGCGTGGGCGGATTCCATGACTCTCTCATGGCACAGCCCCCAGACGAAGGTGCAGCACGTGGTGTCATTTCACAGATAATCAAACTGCCTCTTCCGGCAGCTGCCGCCGCTTCTCTTGTTATTGCTTCTGTTTCTGTTTCTGCTGGTTCTCTGCTTCTTTTTCTTTTTCAATTATTGTCCTTTGTGAGACAACATTCTATGGGGTAAACTAAATGGTGAGTACTGAGAAAATCTGGCAGGTAATACTGGCTGGGCAGACACCTAATGGCTGCTGCTGAGGGGGAGCAGTAGGGGTTGGCAACCTGCTCTGGTACAGCCTGAGACCCAAGGATGGTCTTCATGTTGATAAAGAACTATAAGAAAACAAAAAACAGGAGAATTTTCAATAGACCATTTGAGGCCTGCAGTGCCTAAACATTTACTATTTGCTGCTTTATAGAAATTGTTTGCCAACCTCTGCGGAGGTTTCAGATGCTTAGTTTTTTTTTTTAGAGATATTTCTAGTCCAGTCAATAAGGTAACCTTCATAAAGATAACTTTTTCTGATTTCTTAGAAATACAGGCAGATTATGAAATCATTTTTTATTTCCTCTTCCTGCCAACAAAGTCTTAGGAAAAAAATTAACTGAGAGAAAACCATTTGTTTGTTTTTTTATTTTGCTTTGTTTTAGGAGTATGACATAATTATTTGATTTATGTACATATTATGAAATGATTACCAGAAGAAGTTTAGTTGACATCTATCACCCATTGTTAATATTTTATCTAGAGACTTAAAATCACCAATCTAAGCATTTCTCTCAAAATTTCCTGGAATGACACATTGTCAAACTTACGTGAATTATCAACTTTTATATTTTGTTTCCCTGTGTTCTAGTGTTTTTTTCAATACAAAGCCAAACATTTGATGATTTTTAAGTATTAAGTTACTTTTAGTCATTTTCTCTGCCTCTAAAAGAAGCAGCCAAATTTTGGGTAGGTTATTTTCATCACTGTTGGGTTTTTTGTAGTGATACTTGCATGTGCAATTTAATTGGCTTTAAAACATGTTGTTTTCATAAAGTCAGTCTTCAGAGTGTGCGGCACCATCATTTCTTGCCCCTTCTTCGGTTGCTTCCACAGTGTCCGCAGGAGGACAGAGGCAGCAATGCCTTTCATCTTCCAACTGTGGGTGTCTTCTGCACATTTTGTTTTTTTTCCCTTTGTTTTCCCTTTGTGTTTGCTTATACCTGACTCAGATAACAAATTCTCTCAAGACAGAGATTTGTTCAAAGCACAGAACATATTTATCACTTAAATAACATATTTGGTAAGATCATTTAAAGACATGGAAAAGAAAAATACTGATCTTTAGAAAATGATAACTGCTTTTAATTTTTTTTTACCTTAGATACACATTCCAGTTTTCCTGATGGTGAACAGATAGGCCCTGAAGATCTCAGCTTCAGTCCTGATAAAAACAGCGGAAGGTAATTTTCAAATCAAGGGAACTGACTTGCAAGCTACCTTGACCCTGAAGTTTGCTGTGGTTGGTGCTCAAATTTGCATTCAGTCAGATAATCAGATTTGGTTTTATTTTTTCCATCATCTCTACCTAAAATAAGTAATTCTGAAACTTCAGAAAGTAGTGCAGTTCTAGTATAAGATATTAGTACACAGGAAAAATACTGGGAAGAATTCTGTGTAATGTAATGAAATAACAGTGTAGTCCTCTATTAATTTAGTAAATTCGTATATTCATAAAAAGCAGATTACTACAACAGAAAGGTGATTAACTGCCAGAAAATGTACCTAGAGACAGTGCACGTTCTCAGGAACTAGGTCAGCATCGGTGTTCTTCTGTCCTTGGCCAGATGTTCAGTTGTGTTTAAATGACTACCTTTATATTTTGGGTTTTCATCAGTTTATAGTTTCCTTAGTGCCTGTAGATCAGTGAACAGAAAATTACTTACGTGTAGATGCTGCCCTGTAGACACTTTAAGTGAATAAAGTAACACTAGACTGAATCTCCTCTTCGGAGTATGTTGACTGACTGAAGTTAATTTATCTTTTCTTCTTTGTTCGAGCGCAGGCACACTGATTAAATGGCACATGATCTTTCTGTTGTTTGACTTTTGCAAATGTATTTTTGAATGAATTAAGTTAATGTGGGTTGATTATGTTCCTCGTCATGAACACATGTAATATCATTTGAAATTATTTCATTTGTTCTGCCTTTTACCAAACAATGATAATGCACAAGTATTTAAACACCATCTTTGTATTTTTATTAGTTGGACATCGATTTTGGTGTCAATATACATTTAAAAATTCATACATATTGCACAGTGATTTATGTAATACTGTGGTATAAAGTTTACTTTCATATCCACAATCAGCCCAAAATAATTGCCAGATTTTGTCATCGTTCTGCATTTGTGTTTGATCTGCTATGCTGTTTGTGGAAATTACACTGAAAGTTGACTAAGG